ATACTTCAATGGACAAACACCAAATAGGCAGGTAAGTTATCTGTACTTATCATTCCTTCATACTGGATTTTGTTTATCTAGAGCCAAAGCCATCACAGACCTGTCAACCAATTACAAATCAGTTTAGTTCAGATTGGTTTACTAATTTATTTTTAAATCATGCTTATCAATATTTTATGTAGTTGTGTTGGTTGACTGGTTTTTGATCAATATAAAGGAACACCCAAGCAGAAGATTTTTATTCCTAGTTATACACTGCTCGGTCAGTTTCCCATTTAACCAGGACCAAAATCCATTATAAAGTTTAATTTAATATTCTAACAATATGAAGTTGCAACATTAATTTTCAGAGCAATGGAAAAAATTTGCAAAGGTGGCTTGATCATGAGCTGGAAGTAATGGTGAATGTGCATGCAGTTCGTTTTGAATATGAGAAGCAAAGTCAATTGTATGTAATCAGTACTCAGTTATGATATTTTATGCGCTTACTGTATTCAATTAACTTGCTGCAGTTTGTTTAACTGTTTAATCAATCAACTCTAAAATCCAGGCGAGCTGCACTAGCAGAAGAGTTAGCCTTATTGAAGCAAGTGGATCAATTATATTTGGATGGACATGGTTCACCAAGAAGAAAGAACGGATGTTCTAGGTATTTGACCATCTATCACTTGTTAATGTTACTTCTAAACTTCTTCTATATTTTATGGAGTGTAGTTTAGTGAGAAAGTGATATGATGGCATGTTTAGTGAAAAGTATTCATGCTCCTTTGATTGAGTGATGGCATTTGCTTTCTACAATTTTGTGTTCCCTATTGGTTGTTCTCCATATCACCAACTGCCAGAATGGAAAGAATAGCATCAATTGAGAACATGCTGAGCACCTCTTCAGATGCCCTCGTTGCAATGGCATCACAACTTTCGGAGGCAGAGCAGCGACAACGTGGCTTTACTGGTCACAGACGTTGGAACAAGCTGCGATCAATGGGGGATGCAAAAAACTTGCTGCAGTATATGTTTAATGCCGCAACAGATGCAAGGTGCAATATTCTGAAAATCCGAATAATTTAATTATGATTGTCCCTTTCTTCAATTGGATTTAAATATATTCTTTTTCCATAATGTGATAATTTAATTTAGCGAGAAAGGTATTTATGAATTTTCTTCTAGCATAGTTCAGTTGAAAAGGCGAAATATGACTTTAGTAGTATGAAAATAATGAGGTAAAAGAATATCATATAAACTAAAGAAACAAGAAAAAGGTATTGTGGTATTTGAACATAGGGAGAACCATAAGGGAAACAATTGTTGAAAGTAATTTTTTTTTTTGTTACAATTGTTGAAGGTGTTTTTTATAGGATAATGATGATGACACAAAAAGATGCACCTTAAACTACCGGTGTTAGGTCTGTATTCTGGAAAAGACTTTTCTTAAAAACTTCTTCCTTCAAGCTCATGCATTGGTACTTGGGGAGGGGATGATAAGAGAAGCGGACTCTCACTACATATTGACACCTGCTTTTGTTCTTATGCAACTGCTGATGTGGTCCATTCTCATTTTTGCTCATTCTGAAGTAAAAATGGAATCATGGATGAAAATCTATTTCACCTGAGGCCCTCAGAAAGCTTGACTTGAAAAGCAGCTTGCGGATGAGAATATGATTGCTGAGTCCTGATTGCTATACCTCCTTTATACTCTTTCAGATATCTTATAATACTAGAAGGGTGGCACGCATATGCGTATGCACTTTACTGCAACTTATTAATTTCTCATTTTTTAATATTTTTCTAAACTACATCTCTCATTAACCAACTCCATTGTTCAGTTATTTCGCTATTTCATGTTATTGTTCAAGTGTGTTGACATTTAGGTACCAAGTTATCATTAGCAATTTTTTGTATCATCCACAACATGATTAGTCCTGGCTACTTTGGTTCTCTATAGTAGTTCTGCTACCTTATTTAAACTTGTAAGTATCATATTTAACTGAAACATGACATTCAAAATTTCCACTTTGCCCTGATTTTCCTCGGCTGCTAACCCAATGTGACATATTTTCATGATTCCATAACTATGTAGATCATTTAGTAGTGTTTTAACATGGTAGAACTCACTCTTTTTGTTTTTAGCCCTTGGCACGTCCATATGGTTGGCTTTGCCAAGTTCTAAATCTCGTGTGAATTTAGACATTGGTTTTGATAATTGCTTTGCTGTATCAAAATGTACTTTTACGTTTCTGTTCAATGTGCAAAATTTTGAGGTGTTTTCTTTGTTGTCCTTAGGTCCCAGTTGCGGGAAAAGGAAGTGGAAATTAAGGACGTGAAAGATGAATTAAATCTGCTTGTTACTCTGTTGCAACAAAGTGAAGCACAGAGAAAAGAAATAGTGAAGGAGCAAACATTTAAAGAGCAAGCTGTGGCCATTGCATTGGCTACATCAGCTTCAGTAAGATTATTGCTCTACAGTTTATGGTCTTCCCACTTATCCAAAATAATAAATAAAAACCATTTATGGTCTTCCTTTGTAGTTACTGTGAGAGTTACATGTATTATTTTGGGTTTAGTTAGTCTTATATATTTTAGTTTAAGGGTATGTCTGCCTATTTAGTTCTTAGGGTTATATTTTCTTATTTTATTGTATGTAAACCAATTAGTAAGGATTGTAATGTGGAATTAATATCATTTTGATTCTCTCTTCTATCAGTTTTTTTTTTTTGGGTGAATATCTCTTCTATCAGTTGATACTTGGTACTCATTGAAAGGTTTCAGTTTAACATCGGAAGCTCTCTATGTCATATATATAGATATATATTATACATACACCAACAACATTTTCTTATTGATTTTAAGATAATAGAAGCTAAACTTGAGGTGAAATATTTTAACTGGAGATGATGTTCTGGGAAACCATATCTAGCCTTTTGTCTTTGGTTTTTCATAGCTATGTAATTATTCAAGGAAAGACCTATATCTGTTGGAGTAGTGGGATTCTTTGGTATATTATAAAGACTTTTGTGGGATTTAGAGCTCATTTCTTGTGGCATACACATTATTGTAGAATTAGTAGTAGTGGCTTGATGGAAAAAATGCTTTCAGTTCACTCATCATTCCATCTGTATGGAAATGACAGGGAGAATCTTCGAGTTCATGCAAATACTTTGTGGGTGATACAAGTGGCCCTTCTTCTCCAGTGTCAATGCCGGCAACAAAGCAACTCAAATATACTGCAGGTGTTGAAAATGGATGGGTCAGCGACTCAGCAGCATTTTTGGACCAAAATCAGAAGGTAATAAATCATACTGGCTTTGGATTTTGATTCTTTTGTTTGTGGTTAATAATAAAGAAATGGCTTTGAGTGCAGATGTTGCAGAAACTGACGGTTGCAGGCCAAGCCGGGAAACTGTGGAGGTGGAAGAGGAGTCATCATCAGTGGCTGTTGCAGTTCAAATGGAAGTGGCAGAAACCTTGGAAACTCTCAGAGTGGATCAAACATAGTGATGAGACAATTATGAGGCCGAGACCGCGTACACAGGCTCTGGCAGACATCATTTCATAGTTTCATAATCATTGGCCTTGTCTTCTGTTTATACATTTCAACTGCTGCATACGATCCATTTGTATTCTCATGGAGAATATAAATACAAATAACTGAAGGTAATGTTTCTCCGCTCTTTTATTGTTAATATTGATAGGTTTTATATGGTGTACTTGAAATTTTACCCATTTCTCTGTAGGTTTTATTTTATTTTTTCCCACAAGTCTCACCTTCAAAATGTACGAGGCTCTGCTTTGTTTCATGATGGGAAAAAAGAAAGCAAAAAATAGATTCGTTTAGTGACAGATTGGGTATAGACTTATCCTTTAACATAACCCTCAGGTTCTTTCTCAGTCTCAAGGTTGATAGCGAGTTTGAACCACTGAACCGGTGGGCCCCTGTTTCAGGATGAATGTGATATAATTGTCCTTCTTGTAGCTTATTTTTCTGGAGAATTTTTGAGTTAGTACTAATTGATAGACACCTGAGCTCACTGTTACATTACCAATGTCAATTAAATTTCAGGAAGCAGCATTCTTTTTTGTTTTGTTTATCATTTTTTAGAGGAAAAACTCCGTACTTAATGGAATTTACTGAAACATAAATGATCTCTCTCTAGAAGACAAGTTGACTTCCAAGTAATGAGTTTTACAGCTGGATATTATATTCATATGCTTCAGTGACCTCCTTACACATTCTTTTCCTTGCTTGTAGGTGCTTTGCAATCCGGTGAGAATGGAGCTCTGCACAGCCTTTCGGCTGAGATATGAGGTGGAAATGGTATGGTAAAATTGGCTTGTCAAATCATGGGCTTCAAGGGCTTGCTGTTGCTTCAGCTGCAATTTTGTTGTGCTGATGGGCTTTTGAAGGTTGTGGAGGAAAAAGCCATCGAAGGTTTTGGATACTTCATAGTATCAGTGCATGCGGTGACCAAGATGCTGATCCTACTCTTTATCAGGGATTACCTTGCCAGTCACAATGAAGTTAAAGAAATTTTCTACTGAATTTTGTGTATAAAACATGCTTCATAATTGGGTTTGTACCCTTTTATTTTCTTTCTGGCTAGAGTAGCGTTTTTTTTTGCCCTTCATTTTGTACAATTATAAGGGTGAATTTGTTCCTATGAAACTCGCTTAATTGATTTGTTATTGTAGAGAATGAAAATGGTTCAGGTATAAAAAAAAAAGAGGTTACTTTTGCTGTGAAAATGGTCTTAACTTCATTGACAAATAGTGTCACATTTCAACATGATCTGAATTTTCTATAGTGTAGCAAGTTAAATGTGATTCTCATTGCATAATCATTTTATAAATACATTCTTCATAAATTCCCAAGAGTGGGAAAGTAAGATCTCAAAAAAAAAAAGAAGACACAAACTGCTTCACAATTTCAAGTACGGGTCAACTCAGATGAATTGAACTTTGAATCTGAATAGCAAAACCTCAAAAAATCCAAATCCTAAAAAACGTTCCCAAAATTGTATTTTATATGCCGTTTGGAAAATCCCCCAACCTAAAAGAACACTTGTAGCTTAGATTCATAAACCCATTGTGAACACAAAGTGAATTTGTATTTTCACCTCATAAGAATCCTTTTTGTATAAAATTTCATCAGGTTATCCCGGATTTACAGCTTTTCTTAGCGGCTCGTAGCGTAAGTGCAAAAACAAGTTTAAGCAATCAATATCCATTATATGCATTCCTTGCATCATTTTCTTCTATCATAACACTCACCTTTATTTCTTGTGTCATCTTCAACACTTGCCACATCAATGGCCTCTGTTCCGGGGACGTCAAGCAACAAATACTAGCTACCTCAACTAGCATTCCGAGACTGTTTTCTTCCCCAACATCATCATCCCTCATTGCCCTAACCCAATCCAGCATATCAGTTGGTGCAAGGAATGGATGCTGTGATGGAGGTTTGCCTGTAAGAAGCTCTAACAAGAGGACACCAAAGGCATACACGTCGGACTTGGGGTTGGCTCGGCGGCTGGACTTGCGGATGTCAGGGGCCTTATAGCCTTCAGAGTCTGGATCACCACTTGAAGACAGGTCTGCAAGGGCAGCAAGGCAATAGTCTGTGAGGCAGGCCTCAAAGTCAGTGCCAAGGAGGACATTGCATGATTTCAGATTGCCGTGGATAAGCTTTGGTGTTTGATGGATGTAGGCAAGGCCTTGAGCCACGTCTTCTGCAATCTTCAAGCATGAAGTCCAGTGTAGAGGTTTTGCCCTTGTTGATCTCGAACCTATTTACATATGCATCATACTTCAGTTAGAACGGCAACATGGATTAGAAATTTATATACTACTTTTCTCACTACATTTTCTTTCCAACCAAATACATGCAAGTCTATCCCACATGTATTTATTAAACCAAAGCCCACTATATTGTGTCCAATAGTAGCAACAAAGAAAATGCAATGAGAAAGGAGGTGTACGTAAGCATTACTCATGTGGAAAAATCTGACCTACATTTTTTTCGAAGGAAATCATATTCAGACCAAGAAAGAATTCAACCTGCAATTTTTTGGTTGAAAGGTAGATTCAAGAGAGAAATCATAATGATAATGTTAGATGAGGGTTCACTCTATTGAAGAGGTCCCATAGAAAAGCAAAATGATCAGAATAAGCCAGGCATGTACAGCATATTACACAGAAAGAGGAATCCTCAAAATATAGGAACAGCTGCATCACACTGGATAAATTTAAATACCACCACAAAAATTATGAGCAAATTCCTTGAAAGTCCTATTTGAAAGAGGATAAGTCTATTTAGTCGCACAACCTTTTGAATACTCTCAAAAGTTCATTACGTATTTTTCTTTTGCATTCTTGTTTGTGCATTTGTTTTTCTCTATCTCTTTCTCTTCATGATTTTCAGTGACCGACAACCATACCTTACTTCTTCTCTTTCTCTTTCTACCATATAGTCACTGATGACCGACGACCATCATTGCTTGAGATTCACCGGCAACCACCAACTATCAACTCTTTACTTTACCCTCACCGACAGCGAAAGAGACTATCTACATGAGATTCGACTAAATCTAAACCAAAAATAGTTGTCGGAGTACAATATTTTCTCTATATCTATTTCTCTTCTTCGATTTCTCAATTTTTCTAATTTCAAGTTCTGAACAAGTTTTTAAATTTTAGAGGCAGTGAAAACTAAAAAAAATTTACAGGTTCAGTTTTTTTGTGCTGAAATGAATTATGCTTTAAAACTATAAAATTTTAAAATTTAATAATTTCATAATATTCTTCAAAATTATAAAATTTTACAGTTTCATAACACGTTTTCTAGTTTGATTAATAATGATAAATGCTTAAGGAATCATACTCTAAAATTGTAACATTTTACAATTTCAAAACTTACTTTTCAGTTTGATCAATATTGAAGATTATTTGCTTAAACCCTATAAAAATTAAAAAATAATATATACTTTTTCCCATTGTTGTTTGTTGTTGTTATTTATTTATTTATTTTTTAAACTTTCAGTTTATCAATATTAATATATTTTGCTATATGTTTTCACTATAATTTCTGCATTTATTCTTTCTTTTTTTTTCCGGGCAAAATTCTGAACATTCTGGTGAGTTTCTGATAATATTCTTGACGTTCAATGAACATTCTGAACATTTCGACGACTTTGAGTGACGTTCAGAACACTCCGGTGATACTCTAGCGAACTTCTGGCAATACTCCAACGATTTTCTGGTAATGTTGAATATTCCGATGAGTCTTCGATGACCGTTTAATAGAAGTCCAACGATAGTGGGTGGGATGTATCGGCGTTTTTAAAGTTCCAAAAAAAAAAAAAAAGAAAGATTTTTTGATTACAGTTAAAAATATGTAAGACTAATCGGTGCAACTTACTAGTAAGTGCCCCAAAAATGATCTACTCTCAGCACAAAAACATTGGGAATTTAGTGAATTTAACATGAATGAGAACTTTTATGATTTACATCAAGATTTACAACTCGCTAGCTTTTCTTGTACAGTCTCCAAATGTCAATAGAAAATCAAGGTGGAAGGAGGAATAAGAAAAAGACAAGAAACTAGTTTTTAATTTGTTTCAAAGGCATATCATTGAACCTTAAATGGGCTTCAAAATTCTAAGAGAAGATTCTTACTCATTCACGTGAATCCCATAAGATTCACTGAATCTGACCTTTGGAACATATTGTAATGACAATCACCTCCAATGGCACAACCAATACTGTTTTCGTAAATGAGCGTATAATCAGTCAACGGTGTACTAAATGTTCTTCATGCCAAAGGGAAGAGGAAGAAACAAATTCCATGCACCCGCAATTTTGGAATAAACAGAAAATATAAGCTAATCTATTATAAACTAGCCATTGCCTAGTACTAGTCTCATCAATCTTTGAGTGCAAGGAGGGGAAAATATTAGGTAAAGAGGTAACCTCCAGTTTTGTATGCACCAAGACGCCACGTTTGGGATTCAAAAGTGCCCTGAGCTTTTACCATTTCACCGCAAAATACATTTTAAATTATATTTAGATCATGTTTGGAAAATAAGAAAAATATTTACATTGTAGAAAATGGGCATTTCGTGATATATCTACTGAACACATTTCCAAAAGAGGTGCGAGACCACCTTGAGGTGACTACCTCAACTAGCACAAGTGGTGTAAAAGACTCCAAAATAACTCTTATTTGACACTCCTCGAACTGCCTTAGGCTCAATAAAGCCCAATAAAACTCGATTTGGAAGTAAGTACCTCTATATAATCACTCGACTTGAGGGTCAAAGAGGCTGATTCTATGATTTTTCATTGCTCCAAGAGCCACATCTTCCAAATTCCCTTAAATACCTCGAGAACTATATATTTTAGTAAAACACCTCAGCACTGAACAAATGTTATATATTTTTGTAACTAGTGTAATGAAGAAGTCAAAATCCCCACATCACCTCCTCAATGGTCAAACTCTTGAAAGAGCAATTTATACTGTTACATAAACACAACAGCTCAATATGGCACTACCCCTTTTCGAAGCTTCATCAGCCTTTTGTTTTCCAAAAGTTCACACTATCTGATGACTCTGACATCTGTTCTCCTTATTAACTGAAAGGTACAAGTATATATCTTCCACAATAATTGACTCTGACAGTTGATAACTTTTAATTGTCTTCCACAATCAGCCCTCTTAACTTAAAGAATCCCACATTACCAGATAATTCCATTTTCTAACCCATCTTTCCAAGCATGCTGTCATTTGACAAAATAGTATTACTGATCTAAGGTAACTAAAACTATTACAATCTCTCAAAACAGCATCAATGGTCCCTCACCCAAAACTCCAGACCCAAACCGAACTTAAAATTACCAATTTACCTGACACCAAAATTGGGAAGGAAACAATGCATCTGTATGGTGTTTGCATTCTCATGTCCGCAATGTAGCTTGATCTAAAAGCTCATCGTGAATCTCCAAATCTCAAAGCTAAACCTAACTTCGTGACACGATCAATCATACATATATGTATTTTTGGTTGTTGATACTGTTCAATAGAGTGTCGTTGTGTTTGTTGTTTCAATTTCTTCATCCCTTTAGAAGTACAAAAGGATATGAGTCTTTTGTTGTGAACACCACCATCAAAATCCAAGGTTTATCTTAAATTCTTAAATCAAACTTACTCCTTTTTTTTGAACTTTTTTGTTTGGCATTCTTTGGCATCACACAGTTTTGCTTTTTGTTTCTTTTATGATTGTTGGACTTACAAAAATGGATTGCTTTATGCTAAATTCCATTGTGGGTGACAAAGTCCAAGGTGTGTCTTTCGTGTCTTAAAAAACACCTACTCAATTAGATTGAATCCCTATTCTTTTTAGTCCATTACTGGTTAGAACATGTTTTTGGATTCAATTCATGATTAAAAAAAAAAAAACTACTTTCTAGCTTCAAATTAAGAATTACCAAATATTCTAAATCTTTTTTTTTGTACTTATATTAAACTTAGTTTTCAGGCTAACTACAAACTTAAACAGGGACATTTTGCACAAGCATTGTGTGTGAGGTTGCTGCTAGTGGAAAAGTTAAAATAGGATATCCTAATTAGACTTGAGCCACACAAGTTCAAATCCACACATCACCTCCTAGAGGGAAAAAAAATATTTTACTTTTTCACTCCTGGAGTGAAATTTATGAGGTTCCACAAATCAACAGCGTTACTGTTTAATGCATCAAACATACATTTGTTGACAAATCAACAATGTGATTGTTGGCAGCAAGCGCCGTGGTGGACGGTGCTAGCCCATCGAAAGCGATAGGACTCTGCAACAGTGATCCGCACCTTCTTCGGATGCCAAACAAAAAACAGTTTTGTTGCAGCACCACAGTCCCCCACTCTAATTCTCACTAATGTTTTAATTCAGTCGGACAATTTCTTTTTGTCCAGTATGAAGGAAACGAAATTGAACCCAATTTCACCGAGTCAAAAACTCTCTCGACTCAGAAGCACAATCAATGAGTAAAAACCAGAAAACAAAATCAACAAGTGATGGACAGAGATAAGAGATCTACCGTGAATGAGATTGAAGAGACTACCATTTGGTTGGTAATCATAGATGATGAGTCTCTCTTCTTTGGCCTGAAAGTAAGCTCTGACTGGCACCAAATTGGGGTGTCTGAGTCCTCCCACCAATTCCATGTGCTTCTCGAACATCTCTCCGCTCGTAATCGCAGTCTTACCGGCATCGAGCCTCTTTACTGTCACTATCAGCCGATTTCCCATCACGGCCTTGTACGTAGTCCCAATCGTGCCCCTCCCAAGCAACTCTGCTGAAGCCCTCATTAGATGCTCCAAAGTGTACACCTGTGGGTCGTCTGCGCAGAAAATCAAATTCCCGCTTTTCCGAGCAGGTTTTGGAGCAATTTCTACTTTCTTCTCTTTTGCTTCTAATTCTAATTCAGTATTCACAACTTGCGCCTCAATTGTAGTGTTTGCAGCAGCATTCGTATTTACAGCTTCGGAGTTGAATGTTGCTGATTTTGAGTGGCTTTGATGATGATGATGTTCTCTCTGCTTCTTGAATAATGCGAAAAGAGAGAGAATGGCTGCAAGTAGGATTAGAGCTCCAATAACAAACCCTAACACTATGCCGATTCTCTTGTGCTTCTTCGAAGACGGCGGCGGTAGAACGACGCCTTGTGACTGAGAGTTCTGGATAACCGGCTGCGGCGGTGAAGCGGCGGCGCCGGAGGATGAGGAGGAATTGAAGAACGGCGGAGCGGAACTGCATCCTCTGTCGATGATCTCGCCGCAGAGGTTAGGGTTCCAAGAGAACGAAGAAATGCTGAATCGCGACAGAGTTGGCGTGACCGGTATGGCTCCGGTGAGGTTGTTATTCGACACGTTGAAGATCGTGAGAGAGGTTTGGTTCAGAGGCGGAACCGTACCATTGAAGCGATTTGAATCGAGCCGGAGGTAGTTGAGCCGGTCCAGACCGGTAATCTCGGCCGGGATTGAACCGGTGAGGTTGTTTTCAGAGAGATCAAGAACAAGAAGTCGGCGAAGAGAGAGAACCGAGGGAGGGAACTTTCCAGAGAACGAGTTCCGATCGAGCAAGAGAGATTTCAGGTTGACGAGTCCAGCGAGGTCAGGAATCGGTCCGGCGAGCGAGTTGTCCTTGAGACTGAGTACGCGGAGCTGGTCGAGACGAGTCAAGGTGTCGGCGGCGAAGACACCGCGGAGGCCGAAGCCTCGGAGAACGAACCGGACCACTCGGCCTTCGACGCATTTGACGCCTTGCCATTGACAATAGTCGAAGCGTTCATTGAGCATGTAGAGAAGCTTGTTGTCTAAGTCAGCTTTGGTCTTGAATGAAAGAAGAGCGATAGCGTCGGAGGGTAGTGTTGAGTTCACCGGAGCCGGACGCGGCAGGGCGGCGTAGAGGCTGGTGGTGGCGGTGGCGGCGGCGGCGGGGACAGAGACAGTGAGGAAGAGGAGAGAGAAAAAGCGTTTGAGAAGAGAGAGGGAGAGTATGGGCGTATGCATGATTGGAAGAGAGAGAGAGAGAGAGAGAGTGAGTGAGTGTGAGTGAGTGAGGGTGGGAGATTTGTTTGTGGTGAAATATGAGTGTTTGTGGTGTGTGTTGTTTTTCTCATTTTATTAGGTGCCAACTTTTTAGTTTTTTTTTTTTATATTTATAAAAATTTAAAAATTTTAAATAAAAATTTATTTAGTAAAATTTTTTATTTATAAATCAATAGTCTCAGTTTATAAATTTGGTCAAAAAATAAAAACACAAAAAATATATTTTTATTTTGAGTTTTCAGTTTTTTTTACCACCCAACACTAGCCACCATCCGCCATCATTTTTCACCACCGTCTTCCGCCACCACCACCCGTCACCATTTTCCACCACCACCCACTTGCCACCACCACCCACTTGTCACCCACTCGCCACCACCACCCACCCCTCGCCACCACCACACCACCCACCTCCACCACCACCACCTACCACAACCACCCACCCACCCATCCTGCCATTGTTGCCGTTATCACAACCACCACCCTACCACCTACTATCGTCACCACCACCACCGTCGTCACACCCGCCACCCTACCACCACTACCTATTACCATTGTTTATCGCCACCCACGTTGCTGCCACTGCAACAACCACAACCCTATCATAACCACCTATTACGATCGTTTACCACTGTTGCTGCTGCCATAACCACCACTACTTTTTACCACTTTTTTTATGATGTCTAGTAGGATATGTTGTGGCTTCACACAATCATGGGTTACCTAATTGGATGGTTATGTGTAACACATGGAGCCATTTTTGTATTTGATTGGTATTTTACAGTAACTGTGAGGTGCACTGTTGACAGATTTTGATTATAGCTACATTTAGTTGTTCTCTTTGACTGTCTCAGTAACCTGTTAAACCCTTCCTACGTCCCTTTAATACAAAACTTTCCTTGCTACCATTGTCACAGGAAT